AGAATTTTGTAGTGTGGCCGTCGAGAGGAAAAAGTGTTGACCAAACAAAAAGAAAAGAAAAAAAAAGCGAACAAAACTGCTTGCGGATAAAAATTAAAACTAAACTAAACTAAACTAAACTAAACTAAACAACAACAACAACAACAAAAGAAGAAGAAGAAGAAGAAATAGAAGAAACTAGGAAAGTAAATAAATAAAAAATAATGAGAAGAGCTGAAAAGTAAAATAAAATAATAATAATTTGCTGATAATCGGAATAATTCTGTTTACAAAAAAACTGTTTGTCAATTAATCATAGCAACGTTTATGGATATCCGCAAAACAGATATTTCAAAGTTAATCAAAACCAAAAAATCATTGGATTACAAAACAGTAAACAAATGTTGCAGTTTCAAACGCACTTTAACAATTACGTAATCAAATAAATTTGAAAAAAAAAAAAAAAAAAAGAAAAAGAAAAATATAATAAAGCTTAACGTTTTTAATTTAAATTTGGTGGAACACTATCTGAACAATTGACCACCAGAATTGAAAACAATAAATGCAGGTGTGATTCTGAATTATCAAAAAGTTTTAAAAAAAGCTGCAACTGCTGTAACAGATGCTTATCGTTTTTCATTAGAATGTTTGAATTTCTTTTGTTACAGTAATGAAATAGTGACAGAAAAAAAAAAGTCTAAAAAAAGAGTTGCTGAAGTTTGACACCCTAAATAATTGATGAGGTGATGAAAAACGTGAAAACTTCAGTAGTTATTAAATAAAACTGATGTTTTTTTTTTAGTTGATTGTTGAGTTGACATGTTTGAAGTGTGAAGACTGAAAAACGAAATGAACGTTTACAGATGGTGATGATGATGATGATGATGATGATGATGATGATGACGAACGATGATAGTTGCTGGTGTAGGTAAAGAAAATTTTTTAAGTTGACGACGGTCATCAGCAGCTCAGATTTTCAGCGATCGTTCGTCGTTGTCGTTGTCGCCGTCGTCGTTTTCTTCTTCATCGAGCTGTAGGGAAGTTTGTTGATTCAGTGAATGAACTCGCAACTACGCCGCAGACAAAAAAAAAAAAAA